TGGAAGCGCCCATCGTATGTAGTAGCAACAACTATTTGCAAGACAGAATAGGTAAGCACTTATCCATTTACCTACGCAAGCCTACAGGCTGCAATAGCGAGCTGCCACCTGTAACTAATTAACGCAGGCAAAAACTACACAGCCACCACCACATGCACTGGCAGTGGCATACGTTACATGTAAATACTGACAGTACAGAATAAGGAGCATAAACCTTCTTTAACCAAATTTAGCTTTTGAAATTTCACTGTGACATTGTAGCCTCGTACATCCAGGCATGTATAGATTCTACTAGCAAACCCGGCAGTCAAATTCTTTCTAACAGATGATATATCATATTAGTGCATGACGTGATAAATCGTTGAAATCTCATTGGATAACGCAGCAGGCACTATGAAACAATAGCCTGAGCGGGCACTATTGCTTGCGCGACGCATTGTTATTATAACGCATTGTGTTTACGTCACGAATCTCCTGTGTCTGGGCGCCACGCAAGAGTTTCGAACGGCGGTTGTGTTTGTGTCGAACGTTTTGTTACATCGAATGCACCGGCAAATTAGGGAGTATAAAGAAGGTATATAAGCATGAAAAGTAGATTGCATAGTCATGTGATGCACTAAAAACATTAATGCCTGTTGTTGGGGGGGCACTATGCTCTCATAGGCATTAATATAATTATATATATATATATTATTAAGATATTAATAATCATAGGCATATAAACAACAGGCATTAATATATAAATAATAATAATATAATAATGAGTGTCAATGACACTGTAGCTCACCACAAACAAGGACACAAACAAGTAGCTCACCACAAACAAGGACACAAATAAGTGAGTAAGAAGAAGTCAGTTTTAATTGAGCAACCATCGACGTACATTATAGAACCGATTGCCATCTGTTTATCGCAATAATAATTTATAAACCAAAATGAATCACAATTTGTTACCATAGATGGCGCTACACCCGCTTTGTAGCGATGACATTCGAAATAAATAGGTTATGCTCCGTTCCGACATGTTTTGTAAATCTTTACTCTAATATAGACGTTATTGTAACAACATAACAGAATTGGTTTTACAGCTTTTCACCCGTGTGAGTGTGCACGTGTATCTTAAGCGTATCAGACCTATAACACCTGTATTCACATATATCGCACGTAAATGGCCTCTCTCCCGTGTGAGTGCGCATGTGTTTCTTAAGCACATCGGACCTAGAACACCTATATTCACATCTCTCACATGGAAACGGTTTCTCTCCCGTGTGAGTGCGCATGTGTCTCTTGAGATGACCGGAGCTCCTACACCTGTATTCACATATATCGCATGAATACGGCTTCTCTCCCGTGTGAGTACGCATGTGTATCTTGAGATTACTGGAGCTCCTACACCTGTATTCACATATGTCGCACGCAAACGGTTTCTCACCCGTGTGAATGCGCATGTGTGTCTTGAGATCACTGGAGGTCGTAAACCTGTATTCACATATATCGCATGCATACGGCTTTTCTCCTGTGTGAGTACGCATGTGATTCTTGAGATCACTGGAGGTCGTAAACCTGTATTCACATATATCGCATGCATACGGCTTTTCTCCTGTGTGAGTACGCATGTGATTCTTGAGATCACTGGAGGTCGTAAACCTGTATTCACATATATCGCATGCATACGGCTTCTCTCCCGTGTGAGTGCGCATGTGTGTCTTAAGCGTACCGGACGTAGAACACTTATATTCACATCTCTCACACGCAAACGGTTTCTCTCCCGTGTGAGTGCGCATGTGTATCTTAAGCACATCGGACCTAGAACACCTATATTCACATCCCTCACATGGAAACGGTTTCTCACCCGTGTGAGTGCGCATGTGTATCTTGAGATCACTGGAGCTCCTACTCTTGTATTCACATATATCGCACGTATACGGCCTCTCTGCTGTGTGAGTGCGCATATGTTTCTTGAGATGACCTAGCTTGGAGCCAGCGTATCCACACACATCACATACGTAGGACTTCTCTCCTCCAGGGCGTGGCATTTCTGAATGAGAAGGCTCCATCAGACAGATCGCAGGCGCTCAGTTCTGCCTCGTTTCAAGCTCTAGCTAATGCTCTCCTGCTGGGAAAAAGATGTTGAAATAAATATCATCATTGACGCACTGCAACCCTGCATGTCACTGCCCCGGACGTAACAAGGTATGCTACGAAGATGGGGCCACGGCTACAAACGCACCAATGGTGACGTCACCAGATTTAGCAATACGCGTGGGTGATGTGTGGCGAGTGGAATAGAAGCTCTTGCATCTCACAGAGAAAACTTCGAATCGAACTATATTAGGGCTACTGCTGGCATTCGCCACCTTCGCAAAATGCGATGAATAAATAAAAGTGGCGAATGTACTACACTAAGTGACGAATACAATTGGCAAATAGTTTTCCCGCTCAGAAAATTAAGATTGACTAACGAAATCGTCAAATTGCAGTGTCGTGTCATAAAATGTTTTCGTACATCTCTTTTCTCATACCCATCACCTGTTTATGCCTTGCTTAGCACATATGATCAAGTGAACAGTGGCTATAGTTTTTTATTAGTGGCGGAAAAATAACGTTGGTGGCTCAAGTCTTAACTCAAACTTTAAAATATGTAGAGGGAGCCCTGCTATGGGATGTAAATGCAGATAGGGAGCCTTCGTGTTTTTGAAGTCTCTCTTTCTTGGAGTCTCCCCTGCTTTGGAATCTCCTTTATCTCCGAGTCTCCCTTTCTTGAGGTCTCCCACACCTTGGAATAACTGGAAGAGCGAGAACGAGAGGCTCGCTCAATACTATTGATGATGTTAAATGATATTGTTACTTACTCAATAACCATCGGTGATAAATCATACTCAAATATGAAATATGTGAAACTAGAACCGCCGCCGCGCGCGCAGCCGCGTAAGAGTGCACAGTCGTGATCGTGTCGGTGTGAGTGCGTGCGTGCGTGCGTGCGTGCGTGTGTGCTCTTACCCCTGATGCTCAGCTTGATCTGCATGTTGTCTGCGACCAGGTAGCCGCAGGGCAGCGGGGCCTGGCATCGCACGACGTCGCCGATGCTGTAGCTGGCTGTGCACCGCGCTGAGACTCAGACCCAGGTTAGAGACGGCATCCACGCGCAGCACGTACTCCTGCCAACAATCAAATGTAATAAAATAATTAAACAACAAAGAGATTCGAAAATTGTGCAGAGAAATAAATTCAAAATGTATATCTTAAATAACATTAGACGTTACAATATTAAACATGAAATTACATTACATTCACACGGTACATGATTGCATAGATGTATGATAATAATATAGCATTAAAATTCAGAACATCCTGAAGTCTGAGGCACAGACGGCACTACATATACGCGCCCCGTGTTTCATATACGCTATGCGCATACACGTACGCGTTTCAGTCTGCGTATTTACGTCGCTATTCCAGCACACGTCAATTTGTGCACACGTCAATCAATACATGGAATATACAATTATCATAATTATAAGCTGATAAAAAACAAAAACATTTTCCGGGCAACCACACCGAGACACGATCCCCTGATCTGCGTCTCGGGGGTTAAAAGCCCGTGGAAGCAGCCCGCGGTTCCGCACGCGGACGCTACCAACCGAGCCAGCTAGGCAAGCGGCGAGATCCTAAGATAGCATGCGGACCAACAAGCCTAGGCACCCGACTCAACGAAGCCACAGCGCCCATGATAGACTGGAACGACGTTCACGAATCAGACAAGCTCGTAGGTATATAGGCGAACATATAACGATTTGGCTACACAAACGCGGAAGTCCACGGAGCAGCACCTAGACTGTATGAACGGGATCCGACTACTCTGCAGAAATTCGCATCATAGAGCTGGCAAAAGTTTCGAGCGGAGCATAGCGCACGAATCTGTAGTTATTTAACATGAATGAAGTGCATGTTTTGTAAGCGCAGTAACAGCGTGCATATGTTTAATTAATTTATGTTCGATGCTTATTTAGGCCTGCAGCCTATGGACGCCCTCTACTGTTGTTCAACATCAACGTATCAACATCAACATCAACGTATCAATAGCATTTCCGTATGTCATTAGATGGTGGCGCCTCTAGTGGATCATTATATCTCCCCCGATCATCATTATATTTATGATTATTTTTCAATTTATTATTAAATCGATATATAGATAGGGGCAGAGATAGAAAGAGATGGGTACAGAGAGCAAAAGGGAGGGGTACATAGAGTAAGAAAGAGAGGTACAGAGAGAGAGAGAGAGAGAGAGCTGAGAGAGGTAGAGAGAGGAGGGTAGATCGAGAGAGGAGGGTAATTCGAGAGAGAGAGCGAGAGAGAGAGAGAAGGAGAGAGAGGGGCTGGGGAGAGAGAGAAGGGGAAGAGAAGAGGAAGGTAGAGGAGAGAGGGGGGAGAGAGAGAGGAGTAGCAGAGAGATGGGGTAGAGAGAGAGAGAGAAGTAGAGATTCGAGAGAGGGTAGAGAGCAGAGGAGGGGGTAGAGAGGCAGGGTAGAGAGAGAGAGGGGTAAGAGAGAGAGAGAGAGGAGTAGAGATCGAGAGTAGGGGTAAGAGAGTGGGGGGTAGAGAGAGAGAGCGAGAGAGAGAGAGAGATAAGTGGCAGGGGTAGAGAAGAGAACTTAACGTGGCACCTCTCTGAGGTAAGCAATGAGCTGTCATGGTGCAACTCACACGTATGTATATCATATAACTACGCGGTGCAAAAGTTCGGTTGTTTGGATACATGTAGTGTGTGATGCGCGGGAAGCTGTCGGCTGTAGCATCCGCCAACAAGAAAAACACAGAATTTAAAATCAATTATATGAATGTAACGCGGTCGTTGTCTTTGTCCGATACCGCACGAAGCTTCTTGCGCCAAACGCTGTCTACATCATTTGTTCGCAGTTGTTTCACCGTTGATAGACTCGATAACTCGCGTGTGTCGCATGCGCCTGGTGTTATCAGCATTCTATGTAACAAGCTCTGCTATCATGCGTGCTTTTGTTAAGGTAATGTGTTGTCCGGCACATGAATGTTTGACGTTCCCACGGAGCGAAAGTTGTGAACTAACGAGAACCCAGCACAGCCTGACAACATAGCGAACAATTTAAAGATTAGAATTCTAGTACAAGACGCGCACAAATTCTATTTATTTTAGCAAAAATTTGGAATTAAATACATTGAAGCAGATGAAAGTGTCAATTGACACTGTAGCTCACCCACACATAAAAGACACAAGTGAGTGCAGCAGAGAAAGAAATCAATTTTAATTGAGGCAACCTAATCGACGTACATTAAGAAACCGAAGAGTGAATATGGGAGACTCGCATTATATATCTCTTGATAATTATATGTGGTAATTGTTTATGTGAAAATAATAAATAATATTATATATAAATTTAATAAAATAATAAGATGGCACGGCTATAACCGCTTTGATCTTAGCATAAATCATTATATCATAATAATCAATAAATGGACAAGCTAAAATGAAAGTGTCAACTGACACTGTACTACACCACAAAAAGGACACAAGTGAGTTGAGTGAAGAAGAATCAATTTAATGGCCCTGAGCCGTACATTATCAGAAACAAGAGTTAATATATCGGAGAAACTCCATTATATAACTCTTGAATAATTATATGTGTAAGATTTGGTTTATGGGTGAAAATAATAAATAATATTATATATCAAATTAATAAATTATACAATTGGGAAAATTTATAAACCAAAATGAAGTCACAATTTGTGACGGTAGAATGCGCTAATACCGCTTGAGTCTAGCATAAATCGATTATATCATAAGTAGATAATAATGCAATAATGAAAAAGTGTCCAATGAAAGACCGCCCGTGTCAGAGCTCACCCACAAAAAAGGACACACAATGACGTGATAAGAGAAGTCAGGGTTTTAATTGGAGCAACCACCGCGAGCGACATTATAGAAAACGATCTGCATCTGTACTAACTCGAATCAATACATGTATCAGAACGCACGACCGCCCGCAAAATAAAGTCACAATTTGTGACCGCGTACAGAGATGGCGCTATGAGACGCGCCGACCCGCCTTTGAGGTAGGCGATGGCGCGGTATTTGAAATAACATACGCGTATATGGAGCGCGTCGTTTCGCACATCGTATGTTAAAACTGTGTACTCCTATATGGGATACGACGTTCTTGGTCTGCGCACGAAGGCGTGGAGAGACCAATTTCTGCAATTCAAAGACATTGTCCAATGAACACTCTTGTAACAACGAACGTCCAGACGAGTCTGTGACCCAGCCACCAGACTGAGTTTGTGTCTATACTAATATAGCGGCTATACCCGTAGATTGCCAAACCCTAGGCAGCCTAATTGCATAAATGTTTTTTTGTCATACTAACTCAAAACCCCCTAGCCCGTTATTGCAAATACACATAGGGGCCAAACAAAGCCAAAGAGTCCGGTTGGAACCTGGCAAAGCTCGACCTAAATGGCAACTCCATTTTTGCCGCAGAAAAATGCGGTTGCTTCAGAAAAGTACGTCGACCTGGCGCTCCAAATAGGGCACGTTTAATAGTGGTGGGATAGCAGTGACAGCAACTATACCCATTCAAACCCCTAATACGCCCGTGTTTCTCTCACTCCTGTGAGTTCCGCATCGTGTCCTCACAGATGACGGTAGCTCATCATACCTGTCTGTTAACATATAATGCGGGCATTTCGCAACGGGCTTTCCTCTCCGCCGCGTCGTGAGTGCTATGTGTACTCATACGCAAGAATCACTGGAGGGTTGTATAACGCACTGTGTTCACAAAAAAGGCAAATCATACGGTCTTCTCCATGGCGCGTCGAATGCGCATGTGTCCGATTCAGATGACGGTAGCCCGCCTCTAAACCCGTGTTCACATATATCGCATGTTCAACGGTTTCTCTCTGTGTGAGTGCGGGCGGGGTGTAACTCTTGAGATCACT